GTAACCATATTGCGGCCCATGGCGTTGGACGAATGTGTCGATTGACCCGATCTAGATGAAGCGACCGAGGCGGATGATGTAGGAGGAGTATCTTGAGGATCAGCGATCCGAGGGGGCAAGGATGTCGGGGGATAGTGGCATGCAGTGCCCATCTGGACGCAACGAGCGCACGCGGGTCGAGTCATAGAGCAACGTAGCTTCTTTTGCGCGCATGTTTCGCAGGATTTGCGTTTCGACAGACGTTCTTGGCCGGCGGTCTTGATACACCGTCGCCGGTGTCGGTCGCGGAGGTCGCCTGTGTGCCGTTAGTTATGGTCCTTCGAAATACAGACAACGCAAAGTTTCTGCATCTTGGTACATATTTTATGCTCTAGAAGGGCTGCGTACGTCGACTGTAAGTCTTGTTGCAAATACCGCACCGAAAATCGCCAGACTGCGGTGCCGCGCCATTGTCCGTCGTCTGAGACATAGTTGGGCCTTCTGGACTCGAGATGGCTGACATTGTGTCCTCCACCGAATGCACTGCAACCTCAAAATTCATTGATTCCTCTTCCAAAGCCACCATTTAGGGTCCCTGTGTAGCCAGCAACAGTACATGTGCGCGAAAGCGCAACTAGTCTGGACAGCGGGGGGATGGCAATATGAGAATGGATGCCAAGCAGTTCCAGAGTGGTATGAACTGTTAAAATAGGCAGATAAACAGGTCGAATCCTCGGTACAAGGATATATAGGGCAGGGAAACAAAGAACAATGGAAGTCTATCCGAAAAAAACACGAGGGAGCGCGGGGATAAGTATGGGCAGAGAAGATAGCTCGGAATCTTACCATGGGGAGCAGTTGAATCTAGTCATGGCCCTAATGGCCTGTTTGACTCCAAGTGTGGTTTGGGATTCCAATCCTTCTTTCGGGCTGACCATAAGCTAAATTATGATTAATATTATTCTGCACGCAGGAAGACGATCTATCAGGCTAATTTCCTCGTTTTCGTCTTACGAAATTTAATCCGTCATTTAGTATGGTTTTTTTTTTTTTTCCGACTTAGACTTTCAGGTGCCCCTCTTGACTTTCGGAGGCGTTTGATGATATGCCGGCTGATGCTCGCTAACGGACAATCTACTCGCTTGGCTTGAATCCTGTTGCAGGATGGGAGATCTCGATTAACGAAGACTTTAAATATACCCCTTGTCGAGAAGGACAAGCAACTTGTAGCGCTGAAAGTCGTGGAACGTCAGTTCTCTTCCATTCTTTTGCCATTTTGTTGTCAGTTGGCACCCTAATGCACTGTCCATCAATTTGGCAGCAAGGGTAAGCGAGGTTACAAACCCACTGCAACATCCCTGCACGTGCTGAACCAGAGTCGTATCAGTCTAGACAAAAGTAGGAGAAGACCAGGACTAACTAAGACCAACCAGGGGCTGGAAGAATGAGACGACCGCTATTCGCTGGTTAATCTTCTCGCTCGCCTGTCGAATTGCACGGCCATTAGCGCCGGAGCTAAAAAACGATAATTTAGCAGCTCGGCAGGCGTTATCTTTTCTCCCCCCGGACGTTGACAAGGAGGCAGCTCCTGGTTGAAGGTTCTAGTGTACCCCCGGTTGGGTTGATCCTGGTGGGGATGTTATCTTCCTATCACTGCTGTCTACTCCGTCGTATTCTCTTCGTATGTCCTGGACTTTTCTGTCGGTCTGGTGTCTTCTGCCCTCGACCCATGGTAATTAAACTGTTACCTCGGGTTGGGGCCGGGAATCCGAACCAACCCAAACGGGACGCCCCGTGGTATACGGCACTCGCCGTGGTACGGTTTCGACGTCCCAGGCATCGTTTGTCCCGCCGATACATTTTAGGAACGGGATCAGTGCGGGAGCACATCGGGGAATGATCATTCGTGGATGTACACGGCCAGAGCGACATGCGGAATGATCCGTCCGTGGATCCAGCCGCAGCAGATGAAACCCTAAGACCTAAAGTAGCAGATACTGGAGTAAATCCAGTGGGACACTCCTGCGAGTGGATCCAGCAACCAAATGCGATCCACTCCTCGGAGAATACCATTTAGGCCGCCTAATACCAGTTGAGACAGGCTGTTTCTCCTCCCAGGACGCAGTACTTATGTGTCACCCGGCCAAAAAACCTCAGGCAACCATAGCCAAGCGATACAAAGCGTGTCAGAGCCTCGTCACTCGCCCTGGTGTACAGGGATGATGGGCTGTAGCCTGACCCTCGAGTGCGACAGCAATCAAGGATCAGTTAGCCATGGTTGCAGGAAATGGACGTGTGAGATCAAAACCGTCAACGTTAGCGTCAAGGCCGCATTAGCCGGATCCAACCACTGTGTCTATGGTCGAGTTAAATTTTAGAATGTCTCTCTCGAGCCATCTGCTTTTGCCCCCTTTTCTTGTAATTGTATTTTATTCTTGGTCGTGCAATTTCACAACTGTCGATGCCAACCAGTCTCAGAGTCCAGAAACTAGCTATTTTGGACAGCGTGGTGGGAACATGCGAGGAAGACCCCTCAGAGCGTAATGAAAATGAGAATATTGACTGAGCTAATCGCTGCATAACTCCCAGCCCAGAATAGCTCCGTCTAGAGAGGCCCATTTTTCTGCAGATGAGAAACTCGGAGCGATCTGGTGGGCTAAATTGGTGCCAAGCACTGGATAAGCGGCGTTGCCGTCCAACTCCATCTATCGTTATCCCACCCTACATGTCTGGCCCGACATGGCCAATGAGGATCGACATGGCTTTCCAGAAATAGGCATTGCTGTCTATACCGAGCGCCGTCAGTTGGTGTCATGCCAAAAAACCAGATTAAACAACCGATCCCTGGTACGTCCACTTGTGTTTGATGCGCCACAGCACGAGCCAATCCGGCACAGAAGATACACGGAGAACGAGGCTCAAGAGCCAGTAGTGGATAAGGACCTGGCGGACCAACCCGCACAAGGTGGGACTGACGAAATGAACTCGACGTCTAGAATGTCTTGACGTCTTACTCCAATTACTGGCAGATCGTCGATAAGGAAATACTCACATCCAGTGCACGTGTTTGCCCCTCCCTCGCGTTATCAAGACCGGCTCAGAACAACTCACCAGCCGGCTTCGGTTAGTATACGCGAGAGTCTTGGTAGGACTCACGATGTCCCCGCATAGAACCGACAACGGATGCGCATATTTATGCATAGTTATACATGGAGACGGACTACGGCGAAGCAAGATCCCCAATCAAAGAAGGAATGTTAGCCAAGATAGTTGGGAATTCGGAAGTGCTTAGCATATAGTGTTACTTCCATTTTCACACATCAACAGACGGATAATGTCTTTGCGGTCGACGTTGTGGGTTTCTTCGTGAGCGCATCAGAACCGCTAGATTGGTCCTCGGAGTTGGTTTCGAGACCAAATTAGCCCGGTCTCTACTTGGCCGTATCTAGAAAGATCAGCACTGCTCAAGGAAACAGGGCCAATTGAAAGAATGTACTTTCTATCGGGAGAGAATATGTGTCACGTCAGCTCAAACAAGATCTAGGTTGTGTGGGGATGAAACCCACAGGTCCGGCACATTGTCAAGCACCGATGGGGCTCGAGGGTCGTCAAATTTGCTATATGCCTCGGAGATATATTCTCGGGATACATGCAAGTAGTGCAGCACCAAGATCCATGGAATCCGATCGTGGATATACGACGTAAATCATCTACACTGTTGATCAGGTGCATATCAAGCAATGCGGTTGGCTTGGGATGGCGTCGAAATGCGCCACATGGCATCAAGCACAAATCAAGCCTCAGGTGATTATCTTGCTGGCAATCAAAAAATCCTCAAGACCATAAACGGACCCTCGGCTGAAAGGTTAGCGAAGTTAGCGCAATGACATCGCATCTACGGGGCTATTTGGTGTCTTGGCTGCGCGATAGATTGGCCGTTGGGAAGGATTTACTGCGAGTGCCCTTGAAGTACTGCCTCTTACAGTACGAAGGCTTCTTTGCGGAACTGAGTCCTTGAACGAGGTTAGTATATTCTATAAAAGGTGTCACCCACGTAGCAGCTCGTATTGAGCACACATTGCAATCTCCCGGAAAATTATGCGGCACATATTATCCACGCTCACAATACGTAGATCTCTGATTGAGTTGCTTAGTTGCCCCGTAAGGTGTAGTGAACGCTATGCAAACCTAATTATCCACGCGACTTTCAGGGGTCGGGCTTAGGGTGCAATATTGCATCTTGATGCATCTTGCATAGCCCGGTGGAGCCGAATCATGTCCTGAGCCATGGGATTGCATCAACTCGGTCCCGGAGCAAAGCGGGAGACGTGCATATTTAGTGGGACAGCAACGCCCGGTGCAGGAACTATAAAACAAGCAAACGAATTGGGTCGGGTCCCCGTATTGAAGGATTCGAAGGATGCACGCTATATGACGCGTTTTCCATTATGACAAGTTGTCGGATGTGTAGGCCAAAATAGATGGTGGAAGGATTGTATCGCGCTAACCAAAGATGGCATCCAAGATGTAGTGCTCTGGCCATGCAAATTGTTGACTTCAAGTAATGAGTTCAGCTGTTGCTCATCTCGGGGATATTGGACAGGAAATTACCCCGATTAGGCCCGGCAATGGCGTGTTTGAGTTTCGAGAACTGGACATGGATGCAAAAAATCTGGATATACGGTGAAACTACTTGTTCTATTATGGAATATTCCTGTGAATGACTATATTCTCTATGCCTCTAGGTTATTGTAATTTTATCTGGACTTTCGGTGCTGTCTGCACTCACCCACCGCACAATAAGCACTATCAAGCTTTCCGGCGGTTGATGACACGCCACTGAACGCCGTTGGGATAATAGGCGTCCGAAAGACGGCTGGTATACATATAGAGCTACAAATATTATCAATAAGACAACAGCCACGTCCCACGTTCATATGTTTTCTCCAGTAAGTCTCAAAGAGCAATCGTGGTCCTCGACCTCTACAATCCAAAACAACATCTTTATCCATCTTGCTACTATGATACATTCTCCACATGACACATGGACACCCCAGTCCTGGTCTACAAAGCCCGTGATCGCCCAGGCTGTAGAGTATGATGACCCGAAAGCTTTGGAATCGGTCCTGAACACCCTATCCACTCTGCCGGCGCTTGTCAGCCCGATGAAAATCGAGATTGCCCGTAACAGCTTTGCAGCCGCAGCACGAGGCGAGGCGTTTATCATCCAAGGAGGCGACTGTGCAGAGAGCTTCGACGACGTACGCCTGCATGTTATCCACCAGAAGATCAAACTTCTGCAGGAGCAGTCTCATCTTCTTGTACAAGGTCTTAGTCTGCCCGTTATAACAGTGGGACGAATTGCTGGCCAGTACGCAAAACCCCGGTCGTCTCCATGGGAGACCTTGGAAGACGGTACAAGAACGCACGCTTTCCGTGGGCACAATATTAACGGCTCCAATCTCGGGGAGAGACGCCCTGACCCATATCGTCTGCTGCTGGGAGACTCTTACTCGAGGACGACCTTGCAAATGACCAAAGATATTCAATCTACACCCTCTAGCATGGGTCGAAACTTCGTCCCTGCGCAGAACTCCTTCCCCTTGACTCCAGAAGAGACAGATGTTGCAGCATTACCGACACCCACTGGGACTATCTTTACATCCCATGAAGCGCTTCACCTTCCTTATGAGAGTGCTATGACCCGCGACCGTTACAACACCTCGGCCAGTTTTATTTGGATCGGTGAACGCACGCGGCAGTTGGACGGGGCTCATGTCGAGTACATCCGTGGCCTGCGGAATCCCATTGGGGTAAAGATCGGGCCAAGTACTGAGGGTTCAACACTGGTCGCGCTTCTCAATACCATCTGCCCTGAGCCACACCTGTCAGAGAATGTTGGCCGAGTAACGATTATCACGCGCCTCGGAGCAGAGAAGGTCGCCACTCTTCTTCCCCCTCTCATCAAAGCCGTTCAGGAGGCCGGGCACACGCCCGTCTGGATGTGTGACCCTTGTCATGGGAATACACAGACTACGAAGGCTGGTCTTAAGACACGGCATGTAGGACGCATGCTACTAGAAGCCACCCAGACATACCAAACACATAGAGAGAGCAACTCTATTCTCGGCGGGTTACACCTCGAACAAACGGGAGAATTCGTAACCGAGTGCCAAGACGATGATAATATGGACCAAAGGAGCGCTCTGGGCAGTAACTACCGCAGTTTATGCGACCCGCGCCTGTCCAATGTCCAAGCCTTGAGTCTAGTTCGACAGTTTGTGGATTTCGTGCGCTACCAGGAAGGGAAAGAAAAGCTTGGATATTAACTGGGGCCCCGGCTACTACCCAACAAATACTACTTCACGATCAAACGGTATTGATTTCGGCTTGCTGGCGCTTTTCGTCGGTTATTTTTATGCAATAATAGACTTTCTTCACAAGCTTTTACGTCTTACCTACTTTTTTCAAAGGTTTCCATTACTCGAGATTAACTTCACCGTTGCAATTATCTGCGGAACTAAGGAATCCTACACGAAAAGTATGATGATCACTACAGTAAAATGTCTATTGGCCCAGGGTTTAGCGATGATGCCGAATTTTTCATCAATTAGATTGCCAGTGGGTCAAGGCCCCAGCGGCTCACCAAGATACCCTTCAGGACCCATTTTCCTTTTCCGCGAAACCGACTCCACAACGGCGCATGGACTAAAATATGACGACAGGGGGGCAGACCAATGGCCAGGGACAAAATAGAACAGTGTTTCTGGGCACAAATAAGCAAGCCTAGTCCCAATCTAGGCCAGTATCCGTGCCATTAGATCGGCTTTTCGCGAGGAAAATCTCATCCGTCACTATCACCGAGGCTTCGACATGACCCAAGAATGTCCGAAGAAGACCCCGCCATGTCAGAGAATAGATCAGTTAAATCTCCATGCGCTCCGTCTATATGATAGAGTTCCAATTTTGCTCTGATTGATGTGTATTGCACATGCTCGTGGAATTGAGCTTAGTGAATTGTTTGTCTGAATGAAGCCTGCCGAGACCGATGTCGTCAACAACATGGAGGAACAAGTAGTTGTTTGCCCCAAGCTTTCCACGAATGAAGATGAGGCAATGCGCGCGTTCGATGACGGGCGGGACCTTGACGTTCGAGATATAGATGATGCTACCAATGCCCGGTTGCTGAAAACTATTGATAAGAACTTGTTGCCAGTGTGTCAATCCCCTAAACTTGGCTTTGTGAGTGTTGCTCAGGTTTAATCGTTGTATTGTAGTTACTATGTTTGATCTATGGTCTCAACTTCGTGGACAGTAAGACTGGCTTTTTTATTTCTCTTCCTCCCCCTAGGTTTCTCGGTAGACGTATCAGTATGCTGATGCGCACTGTGGATAGAAACCACGCTGTCCTATGCTAGCGTGATGGGTCTGCAGACAGACCTCAGCCTCAAAGGCAACGAATACCAATGGCTGGGGAGTATATTCTACTTTGGTAGGTCTGAGTTTTACTGTCGGTGACCTTCATGGCTTTTTACTCATGCTATCAGGTTACATATTCGTGGAGTATCCTAGTAGTTATCTCATGCAGCGATTCCCACTGGCAAAATATTCCTCAATCAATATAATCCTGTGGGGAGTGACACTTACCTGCTTCGCTGCCGTAAACAACTTTGCCGGTGCTGCCACGGTTCGGTTTTTTCTTGGGGTCTTCGAAGCAGTAGTTACTCCAGGATTCACCACCTTAACTTCGCGATGGTACACGAAGCACGAGCAAGGCGGGCGCGTCGGCTTCTGGTTCAGCTGCAACGGGGTTGCAAATGTTGTCGGGGGCCTGATCGCATACGGGATATCCCGAGGCGTAGAGCAGCACGGGGCCTCCATCCAGCCATGGCGGATTCTCTTCTTAAGCTTCGGTCTATTCACAATAGCTGTTGGCGTGGCATTTCTATATTATATTCCAGACAATCAGTGGAACTGTCGATTCCTGAGCCCGGCAGACCGTGTGTTAGCTGTGCAACGCATCCGTGGCAACCAACAGGGAATCGGAAACAGACATTTCAAATTGTACCAGTTCAAAGAGGCGCTGACAGACCCCATCACCTGGGCGTTTGCGTTCTTCGGCATTGCCGTGAATATCCCCTTTGGAGGTATCACAACGTTCTTCTCGCAGATCATCCGCAATTCCGGGTATACTTCACAGCAGAGTTTGCTCTACGCGACGCCGGGAGGGGCTTTCCAGACCATTGTTGTGATTTTGAACGGGATTGTCAGCGACCGCTTACAGCAACGCATCTATGTCAGTTTTGTTGGTATGATCATTGGTCTTCTGGGCGCCATTCTTCTGGCCGCGTTGCCGTTGAGTAACAGTCCGGGGCGATTAGCCGCGTACTATCTCACGCAAGCCAGCCCGACTGCATTTATCGCGTTATTATCTTTTATCTCGACAAATGTAGCGGGTGCAACCAAGAAGACTACCGTAGGGGCCATCTATATGGTTGCCTATTGCGTTGGAAACATCATAGGTAAGAATTCCAGAAAAGCAGAGCCTCTTGTGTGTAACGCCATATTGACGCACCACATAGGACCTCAGACTTTCCAGCAAAGTGATGCGCCGCGGTATATCCCGGCCGAGATTGGCATCTGTTGCTGCTGGGGAGCATGTCTGCTTGATCTGCTATTGATTAGATATCTATATTGTAAACGGAACGCCGAAAAAGCAAGGATTCGGGCTGCACCTGGATATGAAAAATCAGAAAAGTCAGAATTCAAAGACTTGACTGATCGTGAAAATCCAGAGTTGGTATATGTGGTCTAGTTGCGGCAGCCTATGCGGATATACATAGTTTATAGAATGAAACGAAACATACATACTACTTGTTACTCTTGGCGTGCATTGGTTAGGGAATAGTTGTACTTCGGGAGAGAAATTGCAACTGAACAAAATTACGTTATCTAATGCTTGTTTCAGCATTCCCTCGGCCTATGGAGCCAAGTATCGCCATTAAAGCTTGAGCGAACTTGTGCCGAGTCTCTTCGGCGAAAGTAGGATGTATGTGGATCTGTGCGCTCGGAGGTGTGTTGCCTTGCGGTCAACGTGCACAGCGATGGACGATCATAGCAGAGGCATACTATGAACATCCTCATTTACTTTTAGTTTTTTCTTTATATGTGACACTATTCAATGTTGTAGTGAAGTCTGTGAGTAATTTTACAAGTTATTGAATATTTTCCATAGTTTGCATCACGAGCCCTCATGGTATACGTTGTCTCGCGGTCATAGTATCAATCAACACTATTCTCCGAGCGATGAAGTAGTAATAACTCAACTAGCATGATAACCATATTTCTAGAAGATTGGAGGTCAAGAATCTGCCAAACTTTTCCGTAAACGCCCAGACTGCAAGTCATCCGTTAAACGACGAGCCCCTGCATCTCAATTGTCCACCAATCTCCAAGTCGGACTAAGATGGACATGGCAGGAGAGCCATGTGTCCATGTGCCCCGAGCGTCCCAATCCACAGTTTAGGATCTGAGCTAATTGAAGTTTATTCCGCGTGGCTACTACCTTACCGTTGGGGCTCCAATATCATAAGATTTCGGCGCGGAGTGGATAGTCTGTGCCCTGTCCATCAACTTCTGAATATGCATCATGATCGGAGGGCATGGGCAACACTTCGGATGTCCGTACAAGTCTTCGCGGAGCGAGGTGTTGATGATGGACATCAGGAGGAAAGTGGACTTCACATACAACCTCATGGATTATTATAAACACACTCAATATCTCGAGCTATGTAAATACCATAAACAGCAACAACCTCACAACCACAATAAAAATAACCACGAGAACAAGACAAACAACCAAATCCACTATACTCTCTATCATATCAATCACCGCCCAGGTTAACACTATCTATCACTCACAATGTCTGCTCCGATCTTTCCCGTCATCGACTACTCTCGCATCGTCTCTTCTAACCCTATGATCGCGACCCAAGAGAAAGACAAGCTGTTCCAATCCTTCAAAGAAGTCGGCTTCATCTACCTAAAGGGCTTCAACTTCCCTCCAGAGTTCATCGACACCCTCTTCTCACATCTCCACAAGTTTTTCTCCCTCCCCGAGGAACAGAAGCTGGCCATCGAGGGAGGCGAAAAGCAAGCCTTCCGCGGCTGGTTCGCTCCCTCTCGTACAGCTAAGAACCCCGAGAAAGCCGACCAGAAGGAAGCATTCGGTTTGGGCAATGACAAGGACGAAACGAGGCCAAACCTCTGGCCGACCAACTGGCCTGAGTTCCGCCGAGACTTCACAACCTTCTATGAGGAGTGCTACAAGATGCATCTCGAGTTGTTGCGCGCATTGACGGAGAAAGTGGGCCTGGACCGCGAGTCTCTCATTCCTTCCGTCAAGGCCAAGGACTGCTACAGTGCCTTGCTACACTACTACGAGACTTCATTGGAGAGCTTCGATACTCGCGTACGCTCTGCGCCGCATACGGACTTCGGTACCCTGACTTTGCTGTTCAATGATAGCAATGGCGGCTTGCAAGTGAAGGACAAGGACGGACAATGGATTGATGCGCCTCCTATGCGCGGTCATGCCATCGTTAATGGTAAGCTGCTACCTTTTTCTTATTTACTCCATAATCGAGATGCTAATAGGACAAATAGTTGGAGACCTCCTCTCTCGGTGGTTCAATGGTCAATTAAAATCCACTCAGCACCGGGTCGTGCAACCCCCAGCTGAAACTCGGGAAACGGAAAATGGTACAACCACTGTCATCCCATCCAGATATGCCATTGCCTGGTTCGGTCACCCCAACCGCGACGCAGTCGTCGAGCCTCTCAAGGAATGTGTTACCCCGGAGTGGACACAGAAGTTCAAGGCAGTGGTCGCGGGGAAGCATGTCAAGGAGCGCATGGCTCGACTTTTGGAGCACGGCTATCTACCTGAGAAGTGGACCGATGACATGCACCGCAAACCTATTGCCGTTTGACTTGTTTCTTGCATTGGTTAGGCTTGCTTGCATATAGATTGGAGTTTGGGTCTCGCCTTTTATAATGATGTTACGATACCCTTTAATAGTAACGTTTATGATATTTATGAAACATGGTTCCTGCATATATTACTATACTCTAAAACAATCGTAAATTAGGCACATGGCTACTTCACTGAGCGAATCACTCTGGAGAAGACATAAAAGATCTCCTCCGCATTAAATCGCATGTCCAAGATACTCGGGCTATGCCTCGTAGTCTTGCTCGTCTCGATTTAGTTTCCGCCCAGACAAATAGAGTTATACATGCATCAAGATCTACCTCACATCCTAAATTCTTTTCTATAGTTGAACTTCTCGAACTATGCGTACTGGCCTATTTACCCAAACCACCATCAAATCTGATGTCAACCACCTAAGACCATCCACCATGTGCCATTCTGCCAATCTTCATTGTCTTTAATCGAACCCCCTCTCTACTACAATTGTTATAGGTCACCAGAGAGGTCTAGCCCTAACCATATGGTATCTGAACATTCGGTCAGTGCCACTCACTTTGTCGCGAGCTCCCCAGTCGTCTTTCAGTTGTATCACTCGATCGGCTACATCTTTGATTCTTGCGAGATCATGCCAAGCTAAATGCCATCTGTCAGTATCTGAAGGCCCTTGGGGTTGCATTTGTTGTATCTCGAAGCTCTGTCTCATACATACACCAGGCTTCCAATACTCCTCCTTTTTAGGTACTAACAGCTATATGAAGGAAACTTGTTGGATTCACACAGTTAGTCTATTGACCGCTTTAATACTGTGTAAGAAATATTGACGCTAGCTAGTTGAAAGCTGTGATACTGACTATATTAGTAGCCCGTTCCATCAATGAGGAATATTACATACCATTCATCATTTCAATGACACTGTCACATTTTCCCCTAAAATCGAAATACCACTGCACCGAGATGACAGCCAAGAGTCCGAGCAATATACTTTTAATTATTTTACCAGCTGCCTAAAACAGAGCAGATCATCGATGCAGAGGGCTGCAGAATGCCGAATCGGGGGATGGTCCAAAGTAAGTATTTACTGAGCCAGTGATCAGCCCTGGTTATAATACAGGCCGATATTCAATTGACGTTACCGGGACGGATCGGAGCAGGCACAATATCTTGCAGATACGAAAGTAGCACAGCATGTATCGTCGTGTCTATTTCTCAGATGGCTTTTTTTTCCCGACTATCCTAGAGCCTGTCTAGCCCCCAACCCATGTAAATAGCCCGTCTCACGTCAAACCCCTTAAGGCAACCTCTGCGCCGCGCATTCCTCCTGACTCACTGCAGAGTGAGATTATTGCATATGTACACCGCAACTTCCGCTCATTCCCCCAGTCCAACCAAGTTATATTACGCTAGATAAAACCCAGCAACACGGAGTTGGCCGTCAGAGAGCCTCAACTGACAGAAAATTTATCCAGGAAACCAGCCTACCAGAGATCCCCACCGGGCTTGCATTAGTAGATGGCCTAACGGCGTTAAACCAGCTTTCTGCACGGCGCATGATCGGATCATTCCAAGGAATGAGTCTAGCAGCCTGTCGCTATTTCTGCTTGGAGTAATATCGGCTAAAGATTAATAAGGACGGTCTCTGTATGTGGGTATCGCGATGATGGGCTGACTGGGTATCTGGACTAAAATACTTGATTCATGGAGTGGCCTGAATCATACAGAATTGTGGGTCAGGGAGGGATATTGATCTATCTGGGTTTTACTGGTGGCTGGCTTTCTAGGTAGAAGGGGAAAGATTTCTAGGGGAACCTGGGCCAGCAGGGAATCAATCTGGATGGCTTGAATTTGTGACTGATATGTGGTTGAGCTGGACTTCAAACGGTTGAGCCAAGAATAGTACAGGGCATCCTTGTGCAGCCAGATTGGCAATCTCTACTCCTGTGGTTGAATTAACTAGTAATATTGGGCCACACCCATGGATTTTTTTTGAATATAAGGTGGTAGAAACATACACAGACTGAAACATCCCTCTTACATGCCGAATTCTCATTTGCAATCCCAGTTACCCGTAACTAGGATTCCGTGATTTTGTTTTGAATGAATCCCTTCCTCCATAATACCCTGTCCAAACGTATCCACGTTTGGCTTGAGCATTTATGTCTGACGGCTTCAGCTATATCAAACGCGACCCTTCTTTTCTTCGCACAATATGGCATATGTGTACAAGACCACCGGGACAGTTATGCAGGTTATTGCCAAGCCATGGTAGGAATTATGAGTTTGGATATCTTCATCTTTCATATTTTAAACAATGCTCAAAGTGTCAGAATATCATGATAAAGACTGTGTAATACATAAAACGACGACTGAACGAAATACCCATGTTGGATTGCCTGGTGCAAGGGTCCAGAAAGTCCGACGACAATATAACTTCAATCATGGCCTCCAAAAGTGTACATCCCTGTATTAAGACTCAACATTTGATTATTCATGATATGCCCATATCTATATTCCAGTTGATACGGGGCTCCAACTACCGACACCATTGAGCCCCATCATATCCGTACGCGTTCTTTGGAACATCTTTTTGTCTAAATGTCTTTACACATACTCAATGGATGAAAAGAAACAATCAGTTCAAAGCCGTCAATCCAGGCAAAAGAACGCAAGATCTCATTGATGCCCTACTCTTTCTTATCTGTAATGACTTAAATGCCACACGGCTCACATCGATCGGCATTTCACATCTTAGGACACTGTCTTCCTTCTTCGACACTTTCCCTGCGATAACACCATCCAAATCTGTGGATGTCAAACTACCTCCAAGATCGTTCAGCATGTGCAAAAGATCAGCAACCCCCTTATGGCCAGAGGCCCCCGCCGAGAACCTCACACGACGAGCACTCAAGAGACCCAAGCAAGAATGTGAATCTCCAACCTCGAATCCACTAACTGCACACCCTCTGATCTCTACCATGGACGAGCATAACTTGAAACGCTTCGCACGGTACGGTGGCCCTGATCTTACTGATATCCGAGGAGTAAGTATCCTTACCATACACCGGCTTGGAATCATGCCCTCTAACAATGAGTTGAATAGTACTGTTCGCCGACGAATACGAAGAGTGAGTCTGTTTATGGAACAACTGGGTCACAAGATCAGGGAGACCCTGAGCCGATATATCGTCCTGACGGACAATGTTCATATGTTGGTACTACAAACCTTTAATGGGCAAGCCTTCACGCTTCGATTGGCATGTCATTTGACAGTATATCATGGAATGTCCTGCAATTGGGCAATGTAGTATAGTATAATATCATCTATACGAAGATATCGCTTACAGACCAGAAGCTACTCTAGTCATCTAGCAGCTAGAAGTATGTTACTAGATTTAGCATCTATTCAGTGATCAAATCATCGGACGGGAGTCATGCGGATAGATCTCGCCAAACCCATAGCTCTATCTGAAGGGTCTGATTAAAAACATATGACAACATTTGTTTATCTTTGCGTAGAGGAAGGTTGTGGCTTTTCCAAACCGATGGCCTGGTTTCAAGAGTGAAAGTTCATGCTCCTCGTTTCTTATGCTCTTTTAAAATTCAGAAACCATTGAGGAAGAAAAGGATCCGTCAGCAAACTGCATTATCATCTGGAAAGCAGCACATGCTATCCTATTATAAAATTCTTCAGTGATGCCTACCTGACCACATTGAAGATCCTATTTTCTGATTCAGTCACAGCATTTCCCTGGACTCATAGACCATCTTACTACCAGCGTGTACTTGACAAGTGAGGACCCTTCTCCGTCAAGCAGTCCAGGAGCATTGAACATAGCTGTCGAGAAGACTTAGAGCCTTCCAAGTAATTCTTCAGTGTTCTTTCGTATGATTTGGTTCTAGCTCATCCTATGCAAGGTCTAAAGGATTCATAGAGGCAATAAGATGTATTTATGAATTGGCCGAGTCTGTACGTCATATGAGTTCCCATTTTCTAGGACAATCGTGTGACAGCTGAATGATGGACCTTCTTATAATGATATTTTCAAATATAGATCCAAAATAATTCTATGTAAGGTATACTAGAAGGACTGTATCGAAGTTGTGTCTTCCAAATACCACACTCGGTTACTAAGCATGTAATACTATCAGGACAGCAAGGTCTTCGAGCCACATTTCAGTTGACACCAGTTACTGCATCAGTATGATCTGAAGACAAGGGCAAGACGACGGTGGCTGATAGACCAATAGTAGTTATTAAGCACAACAACTAAAACAAGTAGTAAATGCGGATCGAGATATCGAGGTGCATGATAATGTGCTACCCGAAGGGAAGGTTATGTGGCTTTTCAGATCGGCCGTAGATCACATCATTTCGGGCTGCTGTACGATGCTAGACGCGGCACGAGGCAGTTATTAGACTGCCACGTGAGGCAGTATAAACTCTGGATATCTGGTGGTGTCTAGACACATATCATGGTATAGGCTGACAGGCTTCACCATTCCCTTTGATCAACTATTTCGAATGGTGTCGGATGATATGTTCTTCATTAGAACAACTAACCTGGAGTCACATTGAATAGAGCTACACGAAAGTTCCGTGCTATCCACAGTACACTCCCATGATGAGTACTCAAGGGCGATCCAATCTCTAAAGCAAATCAGCTTAACACGTAAGTGGGGATGAAGGAAAAGTATCCATCAACAACCACTTCGAGACATAGTATACAATTTACAACTACTATCAAGGTGTGTGGCACACTATTTGAAGTCAGCTTCATCCTCCGCTGTCCTCACCTAGCTTCCTTTTCTTACTAACACCACTGGCAGCTTTGGTGAACATGCTGTCCAATTTCTGCTGCCCTTTCTCGGGTTTCGCAACTTTTACTTTCTCCGATGCCAGCACCGGAGGCAGGCCTTGAACACGCTGCTTGGCATCCTCTAGCAGTTCGACTTCTCGGTCACGTTGTTTCTTGACGGTGGGAACAGACCATGAGTTGGACGAGGCGGACTTGTAAGCCAACTTATATTTGGACCCAGTGAGGTTTGTCTCATATGTGTTGGCATCAATCTTCTTGACAAACTAAAAGAAGTGAGATATGGATTTGTGACTCAGGGGCTGCACGCTATTGGCTTCTGAATCAGGGAAAGGACCAACGTACCTGGTGTGCTACAATGAGCCAGTGATACTCCGTCCCGACAGGAGCGCCGCTTCCCTCCGGTGCCTTCCTCACTCGTCTCTTATTGGTCTGATAATCGATCCGCCATAAATCTGGTTCCTCCTTCGTTTCTTTCCACACGCCTTGATCATAATTCCAAGTATGAGATCCTCCCACTGCCATGCCCGAGTAGACCTGTCCTTTGTAGGATTTGAGCATGTTATATCTTCCCGCCCCTCCGGCATATTCAGGCCTCGCAGGTTGGACAGTGTCTCCCGATTCTTCCGGCATCTCTTCATCTTCGTCCATTATCATGGGTGGCTCATTGTGGCGAGGGTTTCGTGGACTACCCATCGAGCCTCTTTCCTGTACGTCTGGTGCCTCAACTTCGACATTCTCATCCGCCACTGGGGCGTTCTTTTCGGAGAGTGGCGGGGATGGTGGTTTCTGAGTCGTGGATGCGGTCCTCCTTACGCGTTTCGGAGGCATATTGACTGAATTTAACAGATGGTGTATGGTCAGGCCGAAGGGTGTATGGACGTTTAGAGTGGAGAGTGGTACGAATATGATGCGGTGGCATGACGTCATGGTCATCACCCCAACCGATGCATTCTTTATCGCAGTTTAAGTCAATCGAATTCTATTTTTAAAAGCTCTATAATTCTTTGGCACATATTTTACCCCATACATTCATGTCTTCCTGTGGCTGTATGCGTTAACACCCTTACGCTATGATATCACATCCTTGTGCAGTAAGGACCATCATTTGCAGGACACTATTTGGTGGAGTGCATCCGTGCATTCTCATGGCCAGCGACAGCTGAGAGAGACTTGGGGTAACGGTGCTCGTGACACCCGTATGAAGTGTACCAGAGAGGGAATGAAGATATTTTTATTTTGACTCAGTATGGCAGGTTGACGGTGAGATCTCTCACATCTCACACGCCCAGTGAGGTGGAGTAAAATCCAGAGATCTTCCCTCCGACGTCATTTCTGCCCGTGGACCTTCAATGTGGAGAAAGAGATTTTTTTAAACTCGGTCAGAGTTATTGGCTAATATTTCGGGAGCCAACCACGATCTGCGTTTGGAGGAAACTCGGGGTTCTTACAGTAGGGACTCCCGAAAAATAATCCAATCCCGCGGATGCGAAGGCCCTAGCATTACCGAATCGGGTAATTTAGATGGAAGTGCAGAAGACTTGCAAGAGCCAAACCGAAAAAAAAAAAGAAAAAAACCCCACGCAAGCCCCTCCACTTCTTGTTGCTTGTGACCGACGAACCATCGTCGGGGCCCAACCTCCCTTGAACTCCGTCGCAGGTTCTCCATCAATCAGAGCGATCGAAGTTTTATCTTTTCAGAAGGCATATCGTGGATGTGGCATCTGCCCTTGCGCACACGCACACGCACACAGAAGGCGCCTCGTCCGCCACCATGACCGGGGGATCCATACTGGAAAGAAATCCAGGGCATCCTTGGCAAATAATGTGCAAGTTTGTCCTTCTTCCAGGACCGAAACTCTGTCGTTACCCGAAACATCAAAAGGGGGGCATGATAAATACAGCCATAACCCCCCGGGGAGTTGACCTCTTCCCTCCATAAATTCCTCATAGTCATGTTTGTTATTTCCAGAGGTCATCCAATCCCCCTGCATCACGGATATCACTGCTCTATTCGAAACCCCTGAGCGCATAATAGTGCCGCGGCTAGCACACATTCGCTTGAATCCTGGTCTCACTACATGCGACCCCCTCCGTTCGCTCTTCGCTCCCTCGGTCCAGTTTCTGCTTCTGCGGAAATAGTCTCCGTTTACGCTTGGTCACCGATGCCGAAGAGCTCCCCTTTTTAAAATCTCACGGTCTCCCTCGTTGACATTGTAAAAAATCTCCGCTCGTTCTTCCACTTTTTTTTCCACTCGTGACTGGTTGGAGTCACGAGTCTACCTTCCCATCCCGTGACCGACATTCAATCACGGGCTGTCAGATTTTACTTCCTCAAGGATCCCCCGAAACCTAATCCCGGTGTGTCATAAACATGCGCGACATGCCGTCTAGGTTTATCGAAATCCTCGACCCCGAAGATTCTCATTACCGTATGTCTGATGCCGACGTCCGGCTGGAAGATGTTCTCGCGGACCAAGAGGCCATCGCCAGCCGGCCCCGTTCCTCCACGCAATCATCGACTAAAGCGGGTCTCGATAAAGACCGGATATATCGGGAGGGTCCATCGTCGCCACAACAGCGGTGGAAGCGCTTGAGCACGATCCTGGTCCCTGCGAGACGGGGCTCCAGCTAGACCAAGGATTTCTCCTACCATATTCACACTAGACGTGATCATCACCACCGGACTATACAATATTCCCGACGGATATTGAAAACATGACACGCGCCATGGTTCTTCCTTGTCAAGCGAGACTCAAATTAGAAATTGATCTGTCCGTGATTATGGTATGCGGATACGACCGAGCAATTACAGGCGCTTATGGCATATGGTATATACGAGTGTTTCTGGTTTAACATACAATTTGGTTGCGTTTCCATTTCCGATCCACAGTAGCGGATCTGTTTTTCACAGCCCTTGATACCCCCTATGCAGTGTCAGCACATCGTCTTTTGACTGTTTTTCCCTTCTCAACGCATAACTTATGAGTGTATGTCGGTTGAGTACAATTCCTCCACACTCTGCTCGCCCCTTACGAACGTATGATTGCAATGCCTTGAAAGAGCGTTTATGATGACTTGCAGGATACACGACACGTCATTGGTCCATGCGATTAGGATTAAAAGCATACACTAAAGACTTGTATTATGTATTAGAATATGATGGCTGCTTTTTCTTTACTTTTTTTTCCCTTCATTGCAAAACATAACGTGGTCTGGATAGAAAAAAATATAGATGCAAAGGGCGGTAGGGCGGACCCTCTCCGGCGTTAGTTAACTAGTCCAAAGTTTTTATGTAACTGGCCACGATTAAAGTTCAATAACACGCCCGAAACCCTGAAAGACCAAAGTCACCAGATGATAATTCCAGTAGGTCAGTTACCAATGCCCCCAATGGGCTTCCATGGCTCCAGTTTTGCCGAACTGTTAGGTTACATAAGTGAGTCACCCCACTTACTTCAAGCAGGGTGAGACGGGACCGACCATACCTTGCCTAGGCCAAAATAGCTGATCTACAACAGCATCGGCCATTCAGAGGACTGTGATGGCGGACAATTGTCATTATTTTCCTTTCAGCAGCTCCTATTCAGTGCATACGCCTCTATTCCTAATTGCTAAGCTATGCTTTGGCCTATGATTCACGAGATCTAGACTAATGTCTCGTTGCTATTGGTGCGACTTGTAGCAGAGGCTAGCTGACGGTGCAGAACCTAGCTCCACCCATTGGAAACAGTCTAGCTGTTCTCTTTTTTGGGGCTTCTTACTGAGATCGATCTTCTCCAAGTGATCGTCCTTTGAGTCCGTGATGGTCGGATATCACAATCATGTACACGATGCTGCATATATTCGTAGCCAATGCCTGCGTGCCCACAGCAGTATTTTATTACCATTACTATCAAAGCACGCACAAGCCTTCCCACTTTGCAATATGATGTGTTCAAATCTCAAGCAGAGTATCTGCTATGCAATGAGAATCATGATACTTTCATAGTACTTCATTACACCACTGGGCAATGAACAGGGGCCCTGGATACAGTAATGAGACACGTGATTATTTCTTCAACAGCAGTAGAGAAGCCTAGTAACATGAAGAGCTGATGTGAGAGCAGGCTGGAAGGGACTGCGCCTCCAGCAAGTTTGCTTTCATATTTCCTAAGCGGGTTAGTCCCTATTTATTTCCCAGTCCGGCCTAGTGCCAAGCCTCCCTCTCTGCCTCAGGCACCAACAGTGGCTGAAGCTCCAGAAAATTTCCCCTCTTTCGCCGCGCATTTCCCCGACTGCTTTTTTTTTTTCTTTCTCACATCGGAGATAAGAACGATATTTGCTTGCAAGTATCTCATTCTTTAAGGGTCTAACTTTGCGCTCAGGTTACCAGACTTGCTTGCGTATATCCTAGGTAGGACATTTGCCCTTTCTGCTGAATTTATTCTGCGCCCTCCGCATGGCTCTGACGCGGACCTCGAGTCTTTGTCCTTGTCCCAAGGCACGGATTGACTCACGTGTAGAGATGACTCCGCTCTCTGCTTTTTAATTCCCTTGTCTACTCCCTCATAGACCGTATTATTGGTTGGGAAAACCTATATCGCCATTTGCACTAACCGATAATTGACAATTAGGAGTCGCGCATTTGACTGTATCACTTTTTTTTTTTCCCGTTGACCCCTCATCTCCCTTGTCGCACGACAAAAACATACACATTCGCCATGTCTGCCGAACAGAATGTCGCCAACACCGAGGCCGAGAAGGATGTCCAGAACGTCCTGGCCGAATTGAAGGGTGAAGCCGAGGCCAACGGCGCCGAGAAGAAGGAGGCCTCCGCCGAAGACACAGAGGAAGCCCGCATCGTCGCGGCCGCCGCCCAGCTGGGTGAGAAGTCCGCGAAGGCTGAGGAGGACAAGGAGCGCGAGAACCGCGGCCGTGGACCCCGTCGCAACAACGCCAAGTTCGACCCTTCCTCTCAGAAGGAGACCGACGACCCCGTCGAGATCCGCAAGCAGGTTGAGTTCTACTTCTCCGACTCCAACCTCCCCATGGACAAGTTCCTGCTCTCCAAGGTCGGTGGTAGCCAGAACCGCGCTGTTCCTTTGGAACTCCTGCACTCTTTCAAGCGCATGCGTCGCTTCCAGCCTTTCAGCGCGATTGTTGAGGCGCTGAAGACTTCCGAGGTCCTGGACCTGGTTGACAATGAGACTGCCGTCCGCCGCAAGACTCCTCTCCCCGAGAACGTTAAAGAGACCCATGACCCCAATGTTGTTAAGGTGTTCGAGGATAAGGCTATGGACCGCAGTGTCTACGCTAAGGGATTCGGTGAGGAGGGCCCCACCACCCAGCTGGAGATTGAGGAGTTCTTCGCCCCCCACGGCCCCGTCAACGCCATCCGTCTCCGTCGTGCCAACGACAAGACCTTCAAGGGTAGCGTCTTCGTTGAGTTCGAGTCCGAGGAGAAGCAGAAGGCGTTCCTCGCCCTGGCGCCCAAGCCCCAGTGGAAGGGCCAGGATCTGATCATCAAGAGCAAGAGGGAGTACTGTGACGAGAAGGTGCGCGACATTGAGGCCGGCCGCATCAAGCCCAGCGGTCACCGCCCCCGCGGCCGTGGTGGTTTCCGGGGCCGTGGCCGTGGCCGCCAGAGCGACAACCGTGACTGGAGGGAGCGTCGCGCCGAGGACCAGAAGCGCGGTTTCAACGGTGACAAGAAGGACGAGCCCAAGGAGCCTCGCGAGATCCAGAAGGACGCTCGGTAAGCATCCACTACTACCTTGACACGAAAATATCAATAAAACTAACGAAAAACAGCGGCGTCCCCGTCGTACAGAGCACCGCCGACGCTGGCCAGAAGCGCGCCCGCGAGGACGAAGCCAACGGCGACCACCCGGCCAAGAAGGTCGACGCAAAGGAGTAATGATATGCGACTGAACTGTGTTTTTTTCAATAGAGACTGTTTCACATTGATGGGATGTAAAGCATAAGTATCATACTGACTTGGCTGGGCTTTTATTTTTTTTTATTTTTTTTTTTCTTTCAGTTTTGCTGGCACTTGGAATTTAAAAAAGGACTCTGACGTGGGACTTATAATGGCGTTGTGTCAAGTCTATTATTGCTGTTCATAAGACAAACAAAAGTTCCATATTCCTTCCATCTCCATAACCAGGTTAAGAAAAGATACGAAGTAGAGGAATCACTCGTCAAACTCCATATCATAAGCCAAGGTATCCTCACACAACTCCTCCCTCAACTTATGGACCCTACACATACCACCAAGGTCAGCATACCCATACTCAACCACCCCAACTAAACCCACCCCCACCAAACCAAAAAACAAACCCAAACCAAAAAGAAAGAGAAAAGAAAGAAAATAACATACTCCAAATGCGCCGGATGCCCCGCATAAACAGCGACATCCTCCGGTTTATCCAAAACGGCAACAAGCCCCATATCAAAGCCCTTGGCGCGGGGCACGGAGATCGGCAACGGCGGGTTAGTCTTCAGGGAGCGGAGGCCGGGGATCTGGCCGACCATTGCTTGGGAGACTTTGGTCCAGTTTGCGAGCTGGGCGGGCGTGACGCCTTGCTTGAGGCGGAAGAGGACTGCGGGTTGGTTTCTGTGGTTAGGTTTGGTTGTGGTTGTTGTTGTTGTAGGGTTGAGTTAGGTTGCGGGGGGGTTGGGGACGTACCGATGTGGTAGACTGGCATTTTTATTGCTTTCTTTCTTTCTGTCTGTTCTTTTGTTTTGGGATAATGTTGGGTTTGGGTTTGGGTTTTGGGTGGGTGAGGCTGGGGTATGACTCTATTTACATAGGTTTGAAGAGGGAAGAGAGTCGGGGAGTGAATGTCCGGGGAGGAATCATTCCTCGGCGGGTCTCCGATGTTGATCGGGTAGTCCATTTTGGACGGAACTAACCTGATCTTCATGGATTTTTGGGTCAATTTAGTAGATCGACGCTAAGTTACTATTATCACTTTGTAGGATATTCTGTCCTTGGAGTCAATGGTAGATTGTTATTCCAATCGGTATCATGAAATCGTGGCAAGATAGCGATGTCTAACTATTTCTTCTTCTTGGTCTTGTCCACCACGTCGATCCATTGCGTCCTCAGACCGCGTCGCACAAGAGCCGTTTCCAAGGCACGCCGCTGATCGCCCTGCACCAGCACTTCCATGACCCCTCGCGGGGCGCCATTGGCCTGCGCTACGCTCGTGCTGCTGGCACACTTCTTCTGGAGCTCCTCGGCTAGCAGACTTGGGATGACGCCGAACACTTCCAGGTTCGAAACCTTGGTGACGGTCTTGGAGCCTGTGCGACGTTCCAGGATCACCGTTACCTTCGGGGTCGCGCCTGGTTTGGGCTTCACGTCTGCTAGGGTCTGTCCTGCTCGGAGAATGGCGTAGTGTGCGGTCAGCAGGCTGTGGTCTTCCACGATGCGTTTCAGAAGCCCATCCCGGGTCGTCTTTCCCCGCGCAACGGTACTCCTGTCTTCGGAGGAAGAGGTAGTGAAGATGGTGTTGGCGAGGAACGGGTTGAGGGAAATGATACGACGGTTCTGCTTGTCGATGATGGGAGGGTCTTGCGATTGGAGGTACTGGTCCAGATGATTGGACACATCGGAGTATTTGTAATAGTTCTGTGGGTTGGTACTGGACAGCGCTGGAAATATTGTCGGCGTCAGCTTCGGCGAGGGCCGATACAGTGTCTGAACGTTGAGCGTTTGGCCAACAGCGGGATCACCGCCCGTGGCTTCGGGCTTCTTGTTCGCAGCCGCGCCAGGCTTCTTAGCATTCTCCAGGGCGGACTTGGACGGAAGTCTGTACGGGACAAACTGTTCGACGAGGCGGTCGTTGAAGTCCACATCTAGTATAACAGTCTCTTGGCCATTCCGGTCCTTGGACTTGACGAGTTGTTGTTTATCGAGATACTTGATAAACTTCTTGACGTTCTTCCAACTAGTTTTCTTGATTTGATAGTATTGGGCCTGCTGCGCGGAGAAGATCGGTAGGTAGGGTGTAATCATATTCGAGATCAAGAAAGAAGGTTGGACGGGAAGGGACAGTCCGTGGTTGGGAGCAGACGGATTGTCCTGCTTAAGTTTATATAAGGAGTAGATAAAGGCCTTCGTGAAAGCTTCGTCGATTTCTGAGCAACATTAGCCATCTGAGAAAGTGAAGTAAGGTTTTATCAAGACCTACCTTTCATCGACGGCTCCTTCTCTTCTACCAGAGCTGGTTCTTCGGGCGATGCTTCTGCAGATTCGGCTGGCTCTTCGTCGCCTACTGCTTGAGGGTTTTCGCCCTCGTCTAGGGACAGCTCGTTAACCTTCCCTTCGATCTCTTCTACCTCCTCATCACCTTCCAGCTCTTCCTCGTCCCAGCCCGCCAGATAATCTGGCGCGGGTTGACCGGGACGCGATGACGAGCTCCAGGCCCATAACTCATCGCCCTCCCAGTGCAGACCTCGAACCGCATGACCCTTAGTGCCTTGTACCTCCCCTAAAGCCGAGACATCGATTTCGCATACTCCGACGAACAGCGGCACAGTGTGCCTATCCAAGCTAGCGACAGCAACTACGGCGCCCTCGACCGCACGCTTGGGGAAAGGCGGTTCATTCGCGAGACCTGGGGTCATCAAATCTGCTCCGCCGTGTAGTTTGCGCATGACCATCTCCGGGGTGTATAGCAACGGTACCAGGTTGGGATTGTTCCATAAGGTATATACTGTAGGGTAGAAACGTCCGTCTGCGCCGGGTCCATGTTCGAGCTTGAACCATAAGATACGCTCCTCGCCTCCTGGATGTGTCCCCACGTAAACGGTGCCCTGTACCTCTCGAAGCTGGGGACCTGCAGTCGTTGTAAAGCGTGCCGATAACGAATTGTCGGGAAGGAGGGCATTCCGAATAGACGAAAGGTTCGGCGCGGGGTTCGACGGCGTCGCGTCTTCGCCGGCGGGCGCGCTGGAAGGAATCTCGATCTTATAGTCGCTGATGATTTGATCGGCGATTTTTCGACGGTCAGAGGACCGTAGAGGCGATAGGTTCTTGATCTACTTGCTGTTCAGCCTTGGGTTTCGTTCTGAAATTTTTTGCGCGGCTCATGGCAAAGCTGTAGGCAGGTGTCGGCGAAGCAATGCGGGGGAGGGGTTACTCACCGTAGGCTTTTTCTTAAACATGGCGAAGGATTATGGAAAGGTAGCGGTTAAGAAAGAATACAACAAAAGCAGGTATATATTGGCCAATACCATGCAATATAGCAAATGCGACCGTCGGCCAGGGCTTGGAAAAAAGAGCTGGTGGTAAAAGAATGACGGAACCATGCGATTGTTTGTCCCGCAATAACAATCGGCCGCTATTCCCCATTCATCGGCAATATCACCTGTCCCTTTGTTGCCCTACAAACGCCGATTAAATGGGCGTCACGATGACCACTAATTTCTAGTTCGCAGGCTTGCATTCATGAGGCTCAGCAAACACACTTCTACCATGTTTGAATGCCCATTGACTTGGGATGATGGTCCCAATTGGACTATGTCATATCCCATATATTCATCGTCTTATTTGCCTAGCAGCTGATCGGTCTATACATTTACCGACAGATTAGGCCAGCATCGTGTTCAAATATATGAGAGCCATCTATAATAAAACCATAGAAATCCTATCAAAAATCTTGGCATGAATGAGTTCGTACCTTTTGTATCACAGACTCTGTCTGCTAGCGACGAAGAAATTGGGATGGAAAAAACCCTTAATACTTTTCGTCTACCATGTTATCTTTTACCAGAAGAGGAGATCTATATTTTAAGTTTCAACTGTGATAGTGCAAAATATGTATAAATTTTTTTCTAGTTACACAAGTTTGGATTCCGGATCCTCATCAAGGCAAAATAGTTGTTCAACGGTGGAAAGATCGAAGATAAAGTCTAGAGAATGTCTATTCGGTCCGAAACCACTTCTCGGTGACAAATCTAGGCAGAGATGTCACGGGCGTGGATCTTGTCGGTGACAAGCCAAGAGAGGGTCTGCTTGATAACGTTCAGGAGCTCCTCGGCGCTGAGGGAGTTGAAGTACTCAGTCAGGTCGCTGGAGCTGGAGCTGGAGCCAGAGCTGGCGCCGGAGCTAGCAGTGGGAGTGGAAGCAGCAGCCGAGGAGCTGGTGGCCTGGACGTGGGTCTGAGCGGGAGCAGAGCCAGTAACAGTGACGCTGGCAACAGCAGTGGAGGTCTGGTAAGCAGTGGAGGTGCTAGTCTGGACAGGAGCAGCAGTGACAGAAGCAGAAGCACTGGCGGTAGCGGAGGGGGCGGCACTGGAGCTGCCGGAGCCGGTGGAACCGCTGGAGGAGCTGCCGGAGTAGAGAGCAGGGCCGGGGATGGTGTAGGAGGACAAGGTCTGGTAGATGTTGACCAGGATACCAGGGTCGGTGTCCTTGTAGAGAGCAGTACCGAGGGTACCCTCGGGCTTGTCGCTACCGCCGCCGGTGACCTTGAAGTTGAGACACTGGGGGTAGTTCTGAGCACCATCCTTGTTGCCAGCAGAGTGAAGGGCAATAATTTCGTGACGCATGACATAGTTGCCGGCAGCAATGCTGCTGGGAATGGTCACGGTCCAGCTGTTGTTGCTGGAGATCAGGTTGTCGGAGGCCCAGGTGTTGTCGCTGCCGCTGATGAGGCCCTTCTCATCGATCTTGAAGAACTCGAGCGAAGACTTGTCGACGGTGGCGCAGTCCCCGTTGCAGTTGGCGAGGTAGGTGATGACAGGACCCTTGTGACTCTCGGGCCAGTCAGTCCACTGCAGCTCGACCTGCTTGCCAGCAGCGATCTCAGCAGAGATAGCGCCGTTCTTGGCGTTCTTGTGGCAGATAATGTCGGCATCGGCATATGAGCTACCATCAACGAATCCAAGGTCGGTGGCATCGGTGGCCCATCCAATGACCTCGGGGGGGTTAGACATGTAGTGGTAGGACATGTCATATCCAGAGTAGTACTGTCCGTCAACGACGGCACCAGAGACATAACCGTGACCGGCGACCAAAGCGGCCGAGCCGAGGACGACACCAGCAATCTTAGCGATAGACATTTTGATATGTGAAGTTTTTGAACTGATCAACGCGCAGCGTTTCTCGTGGTTTGAAAGGACCGAAGTGGGAAGGAATGAAAAGAATGGATCTTCAATCAATGAAGATAATGAAAGAAAAGGAAGAGAATGGCAGGTTCCGAGACCCTAAAGAAAGAAAGGAATGCAAAGCTGATGAGGAATAGAAGAATACGTTAACCATCGTCGCGAAATGACTGCTTTTATAATGCCGTCGGCCATAGTCTTCAAGATGTCGAGACTGGGCTAACGCTCAGACCAGACTGCTTCGAAATTAATGAAGGTTCATTATCGATAGCTCTGCCACACATAGATTAAGTCCAGCAGCCAGCTCCACCACCGGTCCAATTTTCCGATAGGAGGAGATTCACCTCGATAGCGATAGTGCTGTGAAAGAGTTTTGGATTGATGAAAGACAAGCACTGGCAGGGAGGTCCACCAAGGGCCATGGAATTTTAGCGTCCAAAGGCGAGACGCTCCGCCAGGAACATTGACTATTTGGGAGCTAGTGGCACCCATATGGTCCATCCCAAGTAATCGAGAGAAAGCGACGAAGTAGGGTTCGGGCGTTTACCCTAACGGTTGGCTGCCGACTGGGCCGTGAAGTGGAGGCGTGGGGCCTGCCCTAGGCGCTTGCCTCTGACAGTCTAGGTTTCAACTTCGGGAATTTTCCTCTTAGTCTCTGGATTGCCAAGAATTAAGTTCCCCCTCCGTATGACGAGATGCAATTTCCTGCTCTGAGATATCTCGATTCAGTCTCTACTATGCCTTGTTGGATTACGGACGTGGCGCT